AAATTATCCTGTGCATGATCCCCTGCTAGCAATTCTACAGGAAATCCTTCACAAGTCCTTGACTTTTTCCTTTTGAAGATGCAATGAGGCCCTAAAGAGCTGCATATATTTTTGTCAGAATTGACTTATCATTTCTTCCAAAGGCAACACAAAATTAGCACACTTTCAGTCCAGTTTTAGTAACAGATCTTCAACACACTTTATGACTCCTCATCAGGATGGTGAGACTTCCTGTGCTGCTGCCGAGAAACAAACATTGACACATCCCAGCTGAAGGCAGAAAAGCATTGCCCAGTCCCCCAGCATGGAAAGGGGGCTGTTTGCTTATAGAGCATTCTGAATTGGGATGTTTTAAAAAAAAAAAAGGAGGTTGAAGCATTAAACAAGTGTTAAACCCCCTTGTTTCCAAAAGAATGAAAGAAATAGATCACTACAGCACACTGATATAATACATTCCTTTCTCATTTCCAAATCAATGGGACTTTTGAAATAGAAGAGATCGCTGGAGAGAAAAACTTAGAGGAACTACAAACATTCCAACATGTACTCAGAAAAAAATCACTAGCAAAACGGCCCGGAGTTACTCCAAAGGCTTTGTGTCTGCTTTCCCCAGCAAAGTGACCCAAACCCTCCTGAATGCAATTACGTTTATTGAAAAACGCTGGCATCAGCACTGGCAGATGAACCCCGGGCTGCTAGCCAGGCTCACTTCAGTGAGAAATGCGTTTATTTCAGTACTTTAAGCGTTACTTTTAATTCTTTTTACTGCTTCCTCACGTTATCTACAGCGCTTCTGGAGAGCGCTATCAGCTCCGGCTACGGAGTGCGGCAGATGGGCAACGGCAGCTCCCCAGCCCCGGGAAGCGGGCAACAGTAAATCCAAGAGTCACAAGAAAGTTCACCCGACATCCTCGACAAGAGCGGAATTTACCCGTGACGACCCCGCCTTTCGACAAATAACACCTGAATCAGCAAAAAAAGCCGCAAACCCCTACAGAAGAAGAGTTACACAACAAAGCAGCAGCTCAGCGCTTCACTCCCCGTGGGGACCAGCGCAGCGCGGCCCCCGCTCGCCGTGAGGGTGCCCTCCCCACCCCGGGCCCGGCCGGTGCTCCGGGAGGAGCCGGGGCCCGGCGGGCACCTGTGACAGCCCGGACAGCGCGGCCCGGCCGAGCTGTGGGAGCCCGGCGGCCGTTACCCCCCACCCCTCGCCTCACCTCACCACCACACAGCGAGCGCCGCCCGCTCCTCAGGGGTCCCCGCGGGGGCCCGGCCCGGCCGCGCTAACGCTGAGGGGAACCGGCGGGAAACTTGGCGACGGCTGAGGGGAAGGGGCGAGGCACATGGAAGGGGAAAGCGGGGTGCAGGACCGGCGCAGTGACCCTTACCGCCTCCCGCCGCGACGGCCGGCCGCGCTCTGGCCTCATGCCGACGCGGGGCAGCGCCGGTTCCGGCAGGGGAGGGGAGCGGAGCGGGCGCCGCCGCCGCCGCCCGTTGTTACTAGTGACGGGGCGGGGCTTGGCCGCCGGGTCCGCAGTGCGCGTGCGCGGAGCCGCGCCGCCTGCGCAGGCGCCATGGCGGTGCGGGTTGGTGTGAGGTGGAGTGTTCCTCACATACACACTCAGCATGGCGGCCGGAGCGCTGCGCTTTGTGCCGCTTCCCTTCGCCCGCCCTCCCTGTGAGCCCCGCTTTGGTGCTAAGCCCTTTAGTAATCATGGAACCATTTATGTTGGAAAAGCCCTTTAAGCTCATCCGGTCCAGCCGTTCCCCAGTCCTGCCAAGGCCACCCCTAACCCATGCCACTGAGGCCTCTTCTCCACGCTGTGTGAGCACTTGCAGGGACGGTGACTGCAGCCCTGCCCTGTTCCAACGCCTGAGCACCCTCTGGGGCAGGAATTGCTCCTCAGCTCCATCTAAACCTGCCCTGGTGCAGCTTGAGGCCGTTTCCTCTTGTCCCATCCCTTGCTCCCTGGGAGCAGAGCCCAGCCCCTCCTGGCTCCATCCTCCTGTCAGGCACTTGTAGGCAGCCATCAGGTCCCCCTTGGTTTTGGCTAATCGCCTGCAGAGGTGCTGAACCTGTCCCTGGGTCTCGGAGGTGAGCAGGCTGGGGCAGTGGCACCCAAGGCCCACAGCCTGTCTCCATCACCCTGCCTGTCGCCTCTCTCCTGAGGCTGCAGTCACGCAGCCCGGGGTGCTTCGCAGTTTGGGATGTCTGAAAGAGACGCCTTAGACCATGTCTGGCGTGGTTTAACCATGATGTACTAAAGGCAAGAAACACAATTACTGGTTTGTGCTTACGAGTGTATCACAAACTCTCTTAAAATCAGGATGTGCAAACTAGGGGCCATGCCGCTGTTCCCTTCAATGGCTCTATTAAGGCAATTTATTTACCCAGAACATGTTTTATTACTGACTTACTCCCTCAGAAAGTAAATCCTTCTACTGCAATTGGGAATCATTATCCTGTCCTTTTGGTGCAGTTTTTCTCTAGGAAAGCTGAATTTGTTGTTACTATTAATAAGTGATTCAGCTACAATTCTTCCTCTACCTGAACTATGTGTCTTTTAGTCAAGAGCAGGCTGTTGTCTGATCTGAAACCAGTCCTTACAAGAAGCTGTTTAATGTGTTCAGGAATTGTTTCTCTGAAACTGGTTTCTGCTGTGGCACTTGGCCAGTTGCCTTCATGTAGCTGATGTTAACTAGTTATATCTAGTAACTCTGTAATTAGATTTAGTTATCTGATTGATAGTCCCTGCCATTATGCCTGTAACATCCTTTCCCTGATCTGAAAGCTGAGATATAATCCTACCAACATAGAAGAGCAAGGAATTTACACCCACTCAAATTCCTCTTTGCTCATAACAGCTCTCTTTAGATCCTGAGAAATGTTTCACTTCTCACTGGCTGCCACTATTCTACTGAACCAAATGGCCGTATAAACAGAAAAGCTTTATTTGGACTTCTAAAGGTACTCAGTGTTTATTGATAGAGTGAAAGTCCATAATTTAACATGTAAATCAGTCATGATGTGTGTCTTGCCTGCTTCCACGGAAACAATAATCTTAACAAGATAGACACAGAAGAGGAAATGAATATGTTTGTAGTTTTTTCTTTTTAATAGTGTTTATATTTCTCTTACCTCTTCTTTTATGGCAGCTCCAGCAGTGCATCATTAGAAGGAATATAAATGAATAAACGGGTGGGTGAAATGTTTTAAGGAAAGCCCTGAAGCATGCTGAAGGCTGAAGACTGTCCCAGAGGACACAGGCTGAAAGTGCAAACCATAGAATCATAGAATAGTTTGGGTTGGAAAGGACCTTAAGATCATCCAGTTCCAACCCCCCTGCCATGGGCAGGGACACCTCACACTAAACCATGGCACCCAAGGCTCTGTCCAACCTGGCCTTGAACACTGCCAGGGATGGAGCATTCACAACTTCCCTGGGCAACCCATTCCAGTGCCTCACCACCCTCACAGTAAAGAACTTCTTCCCTATATCCAATCTAAACTTCCCCTGTTTTTGAACCCATTACCCCTTGTCCTATCACTACAGTCCGTAATGAAGAGTCCCTCCCCAGCATCCCTATAGCCCCCTTCAGACACTGGAAGCTGCTCTGAGGTCTCCACGCAGCTTCTCTTCTCCAGGCTGAACAGCCCCAGCTTTCTCAGCCTATCTTCATACTCTGCAAACATTAGGAATGCAGCTCTCTAGCTGTGAAGGGAAGCTGAGCTTTAGGAAGGTTATGCAAGGTTGATCACTCCCCACTATCTGAGCACTTTTCCTGGATTGCATTCCTTCATGTTATGAACTTTGGTTACACAACTCAAAACCCCGTCATCTATCTTCTTTCAGGCAATATTGCCATGGAAATTAATGAGAAGTATTGGTAGTAAATCCTTTATTATTAATAATAACTTAAAGTGCAATTGCCTGAGGGCTGATGTATACAAGCAAAGATTGAAAATGCCTCACGGCCTTACTGTAATTGAATGCAAGCCCCTGGAATTTCAGCAGGCAGGGACTTGCTATGGTTTCTTTTGTTTGCATCCTAGAGAGTGAATAAAATGCTGTGGTCCTGGCTTCTTACTGTCCTGCAGGTCTGATCTTCCCATCTTTTGAACTAGAGGAGGTTGTTAGGAGTTCTCAACAAGAGGGAGCATGCATTCATTCAATGTCTTGCTGCCAAGCTGTAGGTTTATTAAAAGCATGTGAAAGAGGGATGAGATTCTGAGTCCAGATATACTGACATTCTTCAAGAGCTGTTCCCTAATAAATCAGTCCCATCTGAGTCACTGGAATTTTTTGTGCACCACTGGCTACGTTGGAATAACTGCCCTCTTCCTAAATCTTTAAAATCATGAAAAAAGGACCCAAATGATAACATTTCCAGCTAAAATAAGCATGATGACTGACAAACAGCTAATGGGATGGAGATGCGCCCTGGGGACATGCAATTCCCCAGCGTTCTTATTAAATGCATTGCAGATGCGTAACTAGGTGTCACAATTGTTTCATTCCCTTGTCAGTCTGGAGAGCATCTGGTGCTGCTGGGATATGGGGTGGTGTGAATTCCTTCACCCCTTTGCTCTTAAAACTACAGTAACTGACACCCAAGCTCAGGCCTCCAGATACACCATGAATGTGCTCATCTGGAACAGCTGTATGTATTTTTGTAAGCTCTACATAGCCCATACTGAGGAAATGGTACAGAGGAGGAGAAGTTTCTCCAGATATCTCTGGAGATCATGAAGCCCTTTGGCAGAGAAGATACTAATAATCCCAATATGCAGATATAAATACTAAGGCTCACAAAATACTTTAAGAGGAAGCAGACCAGAGCACTTTCTGAGTGATCTCTTTATCCCCAACACTGCTGCCTTTTAGCTTTATGGCAGTTTTCCACCATTGAGAAGATTGGGAACAAGGTAAAATATATCCAGACCAGCCTGTGTTCGGAGATGTGATGTTAATGTGCAAAAGCTAGAAGGCATTGAACTCTTGTGCTGAGAGTTTTATTCAGGATTAAACTGGCCTTAGTTCACTTCAGCTTAATGCAGTACAAGTGAAGAAGTATTAACTTCATACCACTATTTGATTTATCTGAACTTTCCCTTGTGCCATGGTGTAGAAAAGGCTTAAATGACCTTGTAGACTGAAGCCCTTCATGTTTCGATGCCATACACAGTCAGAAACCTGTTTTTTTTCTCTTTTTTCCCAAGTGACTGATAGGAAAATCAGGCTGGGAGCTGGCCAGAGACACCAGCTGCCAGTGCTTGGACTCCAGCAGCTGACATCAGAGCACAGGCACCACTGACATAGCAAAGGATACGTAGATGAACATTAGCACTAAGTCCTGATTCATAAAATACGTGAATTGGGATGAGCACGTGGAAAGTATTCCAGCCCTTATTCACATCCTCTCCTTGTACATCCCGCACCCGTATGCGGCTTCCTGCATGGAATTCAGTGTCCCTGCTCAGAAGCAGTGACAGTGCTAAAGCAAAAGTGAGCAGGTGGTGCAGGGGGGGCTGCTGGGACAGAAATAATTCAAGCATGAGGAGCTAGTGGAGTGCATATTCTGGATGGAGCACCAAATCCAGCACTCATTCCTGTGTTGGATATTTGTAACACCCAAGAGGTTGATAGCACAGTCTTCTTGGGGGAGCATGAGGAGGGGGAGACCCCCTTTGGGCTGCCACAGGATTGGGATAGTTTTATACCTTAGACATCAGGAGGTGGTATGGAAGGGGAGGGGGAGGAAGGAAGGAATGACAAAGGGAACTCACCCCCACAACCATTTTCCATTATAAAGGGAAAAACACTTTGATGACATCTTACTTGCTGGGGTCTGTTTCTGTTGCTGAAGGTGTCATGCTCATAATACAGGGAGCTGGAGTTGCCAGCAAGCAAGGGTTTACTGGGCAGTTGGGAATGTCCAACTTTTCTAATGGCCTTTGGTGACTGCTTGGATCTGCCTGGTACCTGCCTCACCATGAGCAGCCTGTTACCAGTGATCTCTGGGTGAGCTGAAGGACTGCCTGGATCTGATCAGTTCATTAATAACCCTTTTCAGTCCTCAGAGAAAGATCCATTTCAGCCACGAGGCACAGCAAATGCAACATGGAGTAAGTTTCCTATAAAAATAGAAACAAAGGCTGTTTACTATCCCTCTTTTTAAGAAGTCTGACAGTACAAATACTCTCATCTACTTCAGCAAGTGTTGAATCAAACCGTTGGGTCACTCACCATGTGTAGACTTTGTCCTGTTTGCCTGTAAAATGAAGACACTAGGGTTTTTTTAATACCAGAGGAGTAATAAGAAACATAAATCCAGCTCCTTTTAAAGGACACGCTGACTCCACCAGAACTGGGTCTGTACCCTGTGGGCAAACACTGCACCCTTTCACTGGAGCTCCATCAGGACAAGCGTCCTTTGTGGCTGCTGCTCTCCCAGCATAACAGTGGGTCTATCTGTTAAGTTTATGCCCATCCCTGGAGGAAAATGAGGCAGATCATTACAAGGCACTTGCACACCAAAATATCCACCAGGATAGCTATTTCAGGGTTTAGTTTTTACATCACAGTGCCTGTGGATCAGGCCTGTGCTGGCAGCTTTCATCCAAGGATCTCTTAGAAAACCCTTGGGAACCGTAAGTCTCATGATGCTATTTGCAGGCCTAGAAATGCTGCTTATCTTCTCTGATCAGCACAATTCCTTGCATGAATTCCAGCCCGGTGTCCAAGGCAATCTCATTATTTGCTGTACATGCTCAATCTGCTTGCTAATTTCTTCTTCCTTGTCACGGGGGAGGAACCTTCCTGTGCTCCACAGGCATGCCTGTACTGGGGAGATTAAAGAAAGCAAGCAAGGCGCATAAAGAATATCACCCACTTGCAGCGGTGGCAGCCTGAATGAAGAGCACAGCTTAGAGACAGATGTTCCTTCCAATTGAATTGTCTGCATTGCTGATTGTGGAGAGTTCAGTGCTCTTGAAGAGCATGAGATGGGGAATGTTGTGAAGCAGAAGGCTGGCTGCATCCAGGAGCTGGCACGCTGCAAGCAGCCGCTCTGCGCATTCTGCCATGGCTGCAGCATTAATCTGCCTTGGCCTCCAGCACTGCTGGCTGACTCTGTCCTGGAATTAATTTGGATAATGTACCACACGATGGAAAGCCATGTTTGCAATCTCTTTGCTAGGCAAGATTGGACAGAGATTGATAGCACTGTCTATCCCTGGGTAAGTGAGCTGGTAGCAGAGCTCCATGGAAGGGATACCCACTGAGAGTGTGGCTCCAGCTCTCCAGGGGTGAGAGATGATACATTTAACACCTTCTGGCTTTTGTAGCTGTCAGCATGGGTCAGGGGAAGCCTGAGCAGAGAAGGAAGAGAAGGAATCGATGGGTCAGGGGGAGCCTGAGCAGAGAAGGAAGAGAAGGAATCGATGGGGCAGGGGGACCCTGAGCAGAGAAGGAATCGAAGGAATCGATAGGGCAGGGGGAGCCTGAGCAGAGAAGGAAGAGTAGGAGTTGCCTTTTGAGTCAAGCGCTGGCTCTGCAACCGCTGTGCAAATGGGATGTGTAGAAGGTTTTTTTCTGAGGGCGACTTCCAAATAGCAGGCTCAAAATAACTTGGTTTAATGAAGGGGATGATCTCCAGCACAGGAAGCCTATTTGCAGTCGTGGTTTCAAGCTGGTAGCTACAGACTAATGTGTGACCACTAGGTATTCCAGATTAGCTAACAAACAGCTGTTCTGTTTGATTTGCTTTTGGTCATAACCAGCCTCAGTCTGAATTGAACAAGAGCCCAATGATGAAAAGAACTGATTTGACCCAGTACATCTCCCTGGATGGAGACTGGAAACAAGGGCAATGCTTCATTAGTGCCCCATCCCCAAACCCCATGTGCACCTGTGCCTTTGCAGCAGCCCTTCTCTGGGGAGTAAGAAAGGAAAGAGATTGGAAGCACCCAGGAGGTAGCAAGAGGTCAGGTGGATACGGTGAGTGATGGGAGTCAAGGCAGCACCAACTAAGCAAAGGCAAGGCCCCCCATGAGAAACAGAGGACAGATATGCCCAGCAAGTTCCCCCAAAGGTGGCATCCAGCTTGGGAAGCAGAAGAGAGTGTGGGACAGGCAGGAAGACATGGGAGGGAGGTCACTGTGCATCCACATTGTACCTCAATCAGCAGGAGAGGATTTTTTACCCCTTTACCACCACTCTGTGAGACACAAGCTCCACAATGGGTGAGCAGCTGCCCTTCCCGCCCCACCACTGCTATGGCCACATCCAGCAATGGCACGTTGGGAAACACACAGAGAATGGGAGGTGGAAAAAACCCATTAGTTCATGGATGTAAGTCACATCAACACAGCACTGCTCAAACTGCCCCAGAAGGAGGTTTTACATGTAGGCAAGCTAACTGCTGAAAATAACCCTGAACCCAGCCTGGCTGCCACGCTGTGCCATGGGAACAATGTTGTGCATATGATCAGATTCAGCAGGACACAAGCAGCCTACGGGTCTTTTTACATTTGGCTTGAAAAGGCTAAAAATAGCACCCCAAACCGTATTCCTTTTCTGTATTGCCATCTCCTCTGCCTGTTCCTATTCACTGGCACTTTTACATGCAAAGCAGGATTTGGGATCGGAGGCCTGGCAATTAGACTCCAACCTGGCAGCTGCAAGTGGAACAGCTGGAGGTGTTATTTTTATGGGATATTAATTGACTCCATGAAAAACCCTGAGCCCAGGAAACAGAGAGCGCCAGGGAGCCGCAGTGCACAGCCACATGACAGGGGCTTAGCGACAGAAAGAGATAAAATAAAGGAGAGAGCCCAGTCTCCTAAAGCCGATTAGTTATAGCAATTTCTCCAAAGCTAAATATAGGAAATAAAAAGAATCCTCCCCCATCTTCATCTCCGTTGGCGGAGATGAGAAAGCACAAGGAAGGAGATAGATAGAAATTTCATTTTTCACTTAACCCCCTCGTGGGTTGCAGAGAGAAACTGCTGCTGTAGTGATGCTCCCAGTGCTTAAACCCAGGTTCCCCTGGCAGCTAACCCTGTCCTGGCACTAACAAGTGCAGCTGCAGTTGCTCCAGCCACAAAGCCTCTGGGCAGTATCACTGTGCTGGGCAAGCTCCCAGTGCCTGGGCATGGCTGGGTCAGAGTGGTCCCAGCACCTCTGTGCTAGGCACAGAGGGGTGAGCTGGCAGAAGGCACAGCCCCCCTTTCCCAAACACTGTTTGCCTCTCTTCTAAGGGGCTGAACCACCCACACTGCCCCAAAGCAAAGCAGGAGAGAGCCAGAACTCCTGCCTCCAGTTCTCCTTCCTCCCTGCAGCTAGAGACAGACAAGGCTTGGGGACAGACAAAGCCACCAGTGGCCAGAGTAAGGAAAAGCTCAGGGTGCTGGTGGCAGGAGGAAATGGATCCAGACCATTGCCTCGCCAAAACCTCCTGCCCATCTCCTTAGACCTCAGGCAAATAAATCACAGGCAGCTCCAGCAGAGATGCTGAGAAGCTGGGAAACCAGCAGAGTGTTTCAGATTTATGGGGAATTAATTTGGCCCCTGTCTGGACGCTGACAGCCCACAGTGCTGGCCCAGGGCAGGCCTCTGTTCAGGCCCTAAGCTTAACTTCTGGAAATAAATCAGCAGCCCACAGCAGAGGGGAAGCACAGCCTGTATCGCTGCATCTGGGTATCTCCTGTGCTGGCAGCCATAGCGCAGGAAGAGGCAGCAGGAAGGCTGCTGCTGCTGTCAATCAGCCTCACTAGTATCTTGCCAAAACTCAGCCCAAGAAGCCCCTTCCTTGGCAGTCCTTGTCAGCAGACAGGACAGCTCTGTGTTCCACAGCCTCCAGCACGGGGATTTCTTCCAAAACATGTGGGTTTTCCTGCTGCTACATGGCCTGTTCCCAGGAAGGTCCCCACAGGAGCATCAGCTTCATGCAGAGAAAAAGGTGCCAGGGGAGCAGGGAAAGCCCCAGAAGAGGGTTCCCATAGGAAAGGCAGGGCTGGGCACCCAACTACAGGGACACATCACCTTTCCCCTCACCCATTAATTCAGCCACACCAGGCAGTTGTTCCATGTCTAATGACTGTAGCTGCAGGTTTGCATAGGTCCCATGTCAGCTGCAGGGTCCTCCTATGATACCTTTAACCAGGGCAGGGGGCCTGCAAACATGCTGCCATGGGGAGGAACTCAGCATCCGCTGCGTGACCGTGCTCACTCTTGGGGAGATGCATATTGCTCGTGCACCCACAGGTCTGGCAGCACCACATCTCCCCAGGCTTTTTTCCCTAGTAAGCCTCAGTATATGCCATCTGTGCTACCATCACACCTCTCCAGGAGATCCAAAGCTGTGGATAGACAATGCTTTGGGGACAGAAGGGAATGAAGCTTCTTCAAGAGGGTATCAGAACCACAGGTGACCTTGATGGAGAACAGAGAGCTGCAGGCAGCCCCTGGCCTTGTGAAAGTCTTTGGCCTCCACAGAGTGACAATTTCCTTCCCAGCTGCTCTGTCCCACACAGCCGGTGGGACGACTCTGTGCAGCTCATGATGTGACGTGATTAGCAAACAGATGCATTTGCAGCAGGAAGAGGAAAAAAAAGAGGAAAGGAAGAGCAGAGCAAGAAAACAAGCCACGTCTGGGGACAGAAGCAGGCAGCAGTGAGCTCTTTAAAAACCTGCTGAGGAAAGCACTTGCACAGCACATGGTTTGGGCAGATCAATGAAGCTGCAAAGTGGCCTGCTCCTGGCAAGCACACAAATCCACTTTCTAATGAAATTTACAGCAAGCAGAATCTAGGTCACTACTCGGAAGCATTCAGTTTATTCCAGGCAGCTTTTTAAATATTGAAGAAATAGCTGTCAAATGAAGCCTGCTCACCCCTGGCTGGAAGGTCCAGCTTGGAGCCGTGGCAGTTTCTTAGCTACAGCTTAAAGAAATGCCTGTTTTTAAGCTTTCTTTGATTGCCCCCTCCCTTCATCATCACAGCACAGTGATTGAAATCAACTCCTGCTATGGGGGGAATGAAGGGCCCAAGTGATGCTCAGGCTGAACTCAGCCCAGCCTCATCCCTTCCCATGGCTGGGGCAGTGAGACCCCCTGGCTGTCCCTTCAGCAGGA